AGGACAGAGTGCAAGACCCGGAAATATATAGCCCAAGGAAGAGAGGGACAGGAAGGACAGCAGACCGGAAACTAGGGACAGGACAGAGAAGGAGCGCCCTCTGGCTGCAGAGGGCATGACAGACAGTTCAATGGCTCACCTGAGCCTTAACCCCCGTCAAAACTTACTGATATGACATGGCATCCGTAGCAATCAATTTACAGTAAAAAAAATAAAACTGTCAGTTCCATCTCTTTCTCTTATGTGTCATTCTCTAAATAGATATCCCCCATTTACTGTGAACAGCAGATTAAAAATAATATAATACATACCTAATAATATACTTAATTAGTGATTCTGTATTTATTTTCACGTTATGTAACCCCCTCCCCTGAAAATTAATTATTGCTTTTATAGTGTCTGTGTATACTTTTTACAAAATTTGAACATCTTAAATGCTGTGTTTTATGTTTCAGACAAAATACAAGTATGTAGACGTTTAACTCTGAAATATTTGTAAGCAGATTTTCTTTTTCTACAACAGGTGGTGAAATCATCAAAGTGAAAATAACACATTGTATATAGATTGCCCTATACTGTGTGTCAGGGTGTCACCTGATTCAAGATTAGAAATGAAAAACCAAAAGCCCTAAATGAAAATACTATTGAATTATCCTCCTAGGTTTCACTCTTCTGTCAAGGTCTCTGAGCTTCTGAGTCACGAACAGCTCCAATGTCACCCTGCACTCTGAGTTTATCATCGTGGGAATGCCAGGACTGCAGGAGCATTACTCTGCCCTTTTCATCATCTTTCTCATCCTCTTCCTGGCCACATTCCTGGGTAATCTGCTCATCCTGGTGTTAGTGGCCCTCGATCACCGGCTCCACACACCCATGTACTTCTTCCTTTGGAACTTGGCTGTTTTAGATGTACTGATGTCGACATCCATCGTACCCAAGATGCTTGCAGTGTTTTTACACCATGACAGAACCATCTCTTTCACAGGCTGTTTTGTTCAAATGTACTTTATAATCTCACTTGGTGCTACTGAAACATACCTTGTTGCAGTCATGGCTTATGACAGATATGTTGCTGTAGTGAAACCGCTGCATTACAACACCATCATGACAAGCAAGGTCTATATCACAATGTCATCCTCTGTCTGGGTGCTGGGCTTCCTTCTACCTATATTGTCAATATCACTGGCAAGTACTTTGCGATTCTGTGGCTCTAATTATGTCCTCCACTGTTTCTGTGATTACCCCACTATAATGTCATTAGCATGTGGTGAGACTGCAGGACAAGTTAATTTTTCCCTGTTTCTTGTCATGATTTCTGTCTATTTTCCTTTAATCTTCATTCTGTTTTCCTACTTCAGAATTGTGAGGTCAGTGATAAAAATGAAAACTGTAGACAGCCGTAAGAAAGCCTTCTCAATGTGCTCTTCACATATGACAGTTGTCTTCCTGTACTATGTGTCCACTGCTGTGGTGTATATTGGACTGAGAGTGGAAAATATACCCCCTGATGGACGCATCTTCATTGGTGGGCTGAATTATTTCCTCACCCCTTTGGTAAACCCAATCATTTACAGCTTAAGGAATGAAAAAATCAAGGCAGCAGCTCACAGATACTTTAGGCTCCAAACTCTTTTTCCTCACAGTGCAAATAACTCTGTTATCACCACTACATGAGCCTCCTTTTCAAGAATTCCAATGGTCCATCTGCATAAGGGGTTGCATTGATAATTCTATGCAAATCCTTGAGGGCATAGTGTTGTCTGGTTTTTGTTCCAATCTGAGTAATTAAAGAATTACTAAATTATTTTGTAGTTTCACATGTAAAGGATCCATAAAGGAACTAAAATTAGTCTCTGTTCATTACCCAAAATCGTTCACTTCATTATAGGTACAGTTATCTTGAAACCTGGTTAGAAATATTTTGAATGATACAATTAATAAAATACATTGATACAATTGTGGAATAATAACAGATTGCACTGGGACCTCCAGGAAGCGAGTTTGACCCCATTTTCTGTGCAATACACAATAAAAGATTTGTCATAAAAAATGTTAAAATATTGTTATGGCTTACACTTGTAATACACATCATTATCTTGCAGTGATTATAATCATATTCATGAAAACAGAAGACTTCTATGTTCTAATCCTCACTACTGAGATTAAATGTTTCTAAGAAGAAGCACTTTCAGGAAATATCTGGGCATTCTAAATTAAGTCCTAATTTAAGGACTTTACCTTTCAAAAATATCTAGATTAAAAAATCATATTATAAATTAACCTAAATAAGTGAGAAATGTCCATATTATTATCTATACATATCTTTGCATGTTGCATAATGTTGGTGACTCAAATGTCTGTACTGTGAAGAAAGATATAAGATGTGAAAAAGGAGTTAACTGATTTCCTTCTGCACAAAGACTTCTTGTGACACAAGACATTCCATGCTTAAGCACATTTGAGTTATGGCAGGGATGGGAGTTAACTGATAAGAGATTTCAAGTGCAAGATATAGAGACCCCCCTAACTAAGAAAAGATAAAACCGGCCATTCAAAGTAGTTAAGGTCTTGGGAATGTCCAAACACAGGTGACCTCCTCCGTTACCATGGTAACAATTTGCGTCAGAAACAGCTGACGTTTGCTATATAAACTGGAAGTTTTGTACCTATATTCCAAACAATACTTTGGTCTTATTGTTCCTTGCATGCAATAAACTCAGTTGTTAAAACTTCATCTCAGGAGACTTATATTTCTGTTACAACACTGTATACAGTGGTATACAGTTAACTGTGAAATGTATTAACATATTAACATAACTAAAGGAAAAAAATGTATGGTCACAAAATATTTTCTTTCTCTTTTTAAAAGAAATAAAACAAATCTTGCTCTAACTTTCATCAGACCATTGATGTGGCCTGAAACTTCAACTGTAGACAAGTATTAAATTATACTAGTTTTGAAGATAATTTGAAATAAAAATACAGATAAGTCTGTGTATTTATTGTTCTTTTCTTTGTTCACTTTTCATGAAATGTGCTCGAACACAATATATACTCTAAGTAAACTGAAGATATGCTCTTCTCGTGACAATGTTTTATGACTACAAACAAAAATGAACTATACTGTAGGCTTATTAACCATTAGGTATCATATACTGAGTTGCCAGTTAATACCTGCCCTTCTCATGTTCTGTATTTGACTGTTTAATCAGTGACAGCATTATATGTACAGGAAGTGATATCTAAAGTAAGTAGGCAGGTTACAAGATGTGATAATTTGTGTGTGTGCAATTCAAAAGGAGAATAGGCAAAATTAAAGATTAAGTGACGTTGAATGCGGTATGGTCATACCCGCATGGAACAGAAACTCTCTGTATCAAGAATGGGCAACCATCCAAATGGCACTGTCCTGTTGTAGGTGTCGAAGAAAACTCTTCAATCAGGTTAGGTGTGGTTCAGCAGAATCCATTATTCATGCACATGGAGAGGATACAATCATACAGATGTGAAAGCAAACTCTGACTGATGGTGTCAAAGGTAATGGGTTTTATACAGCAGGTTCATGGTAGCATAGCTCATTCTAAATTTCCATATGAATTGTTTTTCTCTACAAATACTGCTTTGTATATGACCACTACATTGTTAAGAAATGAAATTTCACCTTTTGTTTGGTCTGAAAGAAGTATACAAACAGAATGCGTGAAGACTATCTAAACATTCTGTGGTTAAAGCATTAGCATCAAAAAGATCAAATGATGTCTCTGCAATTTATTCTTTCTTACTGTCACTAGGCAGAAAAAGCATATTAGGAAGAATAAACAGTTACTATCTTTCCTCTTAGGAAACAGACCGTTGATGAAAGAGGTTAATGGAGGGTGTCACAACTTGTGTAGATGGGCTACAGTCATTCAACTAACAGCTGAGTACAACGGTGCCAAGTGTCAAAATTGCTTGCTGGTGGAGGTGTTGTAATGGTGTGGGGTGTGTTTACATGAATGTGAAACACATTAGGTTCCTTGATATGAGTAAAATGTCACAGGATATCTGAACATCATTGCCGATCTAGTACACCTCTTCATGGCAGCAGTGTACCCATCAGCAGAATAATGCTCCAATCAACAAGGCTAGGAAAGTCCTGGAATGGTTCCAGGAACATGACAGTGAATTCAACTTAATGCAATGGTCTCCCCATTCATCAGATCTCAATTCAGTCTATGGGAGGGTCTGTGGGATGAGACAGAACAAGCTACTTAATGGGCAAGCATCCCTGTAAAACGCTTTTTACAACTTATTGAGCCAATGCCCCAATGAATTCAGGCTGTTCTGAGTGCAAATGGGGGACCAGATCACTATTAGGGAGATGTATCTAATAAGGTGGCCATTAAGTGTATGTTTGTAGTTTATAGGCAGTTATACCACCATGACATAAACAGACAATGCTGTCACGGGAGCCGGTCCTCACTCCCGTGTAATGTGTAGTAAAGACCCTATGTGTGATGGTATAATCCAGAAGTGACTGGATAAGGACAACAGGGAAGACATGGCATGGTATGTACAGGATGACGGACAGGGGACGGTGTAGACAGTGGTCCGGTGCTTGGTGGAAAGAAAAGTGAACTAGTGCAGGAGGAAGTCCAAAAGGGGGAAATCAGTCACAGTCCAGGGTCCTGGTACCAGGAGATCCATCCAGACAAACACGGGGAAACAGGAATCCAGGAACATAGAAGGTAAAACCGTAATGGAGCAAAGCGCTCCGAGCCCTGGGCACAGTGGTCAGGACACCGTGATGAAGCTACTCCTGAGCCCAGTGGTAGGCGGGCTTCCGGACATCCATCTTCCAAAGTTGAGCCCTGAGCTGCGGAGGCACCGGTTTATAATAATAAAAAGGGGATAGGACACAGTCGACACTAATAACACTAGGAACACAATGAAAAAGGTAGGAGAGCCCTCAAGAGGAAGGAAGATGACTGTGTCAAATGCACTATGTACATATTTGATACAAACATAATGCTTTCATTATTAACGATGAAGAGGAATTTCTCATGCAGCTCTGCACCTTGTATAGTGCATCACAACATGCAGCTCAGTATATTCTTAATATGGCAGTGAATATACTCACCTGCATGTTGTGATGGTGCCTCAGGAAGTAATATAGTTTTGATTGACAATACTAAGCTGTTAAGTAATGTAGTTTTGTAGGGTCATATAGTTTTGGAAGTAATGTAGAGTGGAGTGTAAAGAGCTGAGAAAAGCTTGCAGAGATGAAGACACATAGTCAACTCTGCAATGGCTAGGCTGATCTCTTTATCACAAAAGGTTAAGAGAAAGAGTGTGGATACATGGGTCTGGGAGACAAACCTCGAAGTAGGATGCAGAACAGAAAATCAAGGGCCAACGCACTGGACAGGAAAAAGAAGGATCCTCGTCAGAGCACAGCTATACTTTGTCCCATAGGCTTCATAAAGAGGAGGGGGTCTGAGCGCATTGGCGAGGCAAGAATATGTCACACAGTGGTCCTGTCAGAGGGCACAGGACCCAGTGATTCAAGGCATTTGCTTTTATGGGGGTTCTCCTCTGAGACCAGGCCCGGGGTGCACTGTCAAATAGTAGGGTCATAGGGTCAATTTGCCCAACGGAGGTGCCCAGGTGGAAATGGGTTCAGACACCCAAGCGCCAACTGCAATGGAAAGGAGGCAAAGGACCTCATTCCCCACACAATTCTCAGAGCACTGCGTGGTCCTAGTTAGAACCTGAGAACTATGAGAACTAGGATTCCTTAGGGAGTTCAGACTAATGGAGTGATGCTCACCAGGCATCAGAGCAAAAACAGGATTCCTGGCTCCCTAGAGAGAAAAAGAAGGCTCTGCTGGGAAACTGGAAGAAACTGGGTAAGGAGAAAGGAAAGTAACCCAGACTGCAAATGAGATGAGGAAAAGTAAAGAGTCCTGAGTGTGAAGAAAAAGCTGCCAAAAAGTGAAGCTGGAAAAACAGCAGAAAAGAGGGCAGTCTGAGAAAATAAATAGATTGCTAGGGCAGCAATGTACAGAACAGGAACAAGGGTGCTAGGTTTAGAATAGGATGACTGCACGAGGAGAGACCTAGGGTCCCAGACAATGAAAGATGCCTTCTGAAAGCGGAAATGAAGTATAAAAGAGGGAGGCCAGTTGAAAAGAGTGCGGGATCCATGGCAGAGGCCTGGAGCCACTGTGCAGACTGGTAAAGGCGCTTCAGTGCAGAGTGAAGTCCTGGAGAAAGGGAAACTGGAGCAGAGCTCTGCAGTGCAGAGTGAAGTAAAGTCTTGAGCTGAAGCTTCATCACTTATTAAGATAGATCACCAAAAGGAGATGCAGTCAAAGCAGCGATCCCTGAAAAAAACATGAGCCCTAGTGTGAATATGATCGTTTCCCAGGGAAACCCAGATGTATGGGATGTAATTTTTGAGACTGATAAAACCTAACCATAAGACCAGAACACATATTACAGCTGATGTATTTTTTTAGTTGTTGTTATGCTTGCTTTAAGTGTTATATCAATTAATTTTATATAGTATATTT